TTGACATGCACATTGAGCACTATCTGACAAGAAAGGGTTGCTACGTTATACTCGCTGGGTGTAACCGTCACCCCCGGAAAATCTTTTCAGGCCTGCGCCCAGCAATCTGACGTCATTTTCGGCCGGCCGACTCTCGGGGAAGCCGCAGCGGCAGCGAGCGCAGCGCGAGCGGCGGTGGTGACGGTTCGGCGGCGTGGTGTTGACGGTGTTTAACGTTTGTTGCTTTCCGTTGTTGTTTTGCGGCAATTTCGTTTCCGTGCGTGATGCTGGAGTGATGCGACAATGCCGAATAAGTGTTGTGTACCCGGATGCACCGGCAACTACAAAACAGGAAAGAAGATACAAGTGTTTTCCTTCCTTAAAGACGCCGACGCTCTCAAACAATGGCTACGCGCCATTCCTAGGAAGGACTTCGTGCCGACTTCGTGCACTAAGGTAAGAATTTGAGATGCTCCTGTTCTTAGCTTGTCGTTGCTTGTTCGGGTAGAAATCACCTATGATGGGAAATACTTGAGCGTGTGGCCGCCGGGCCTCGCGAAGCGCTGACGCCAGCAGCGTTCGCAGCAAGGATGGTCAGCTGCGCTTTGTTCACTAACAGTGCCGTGGTGTCGTCCATTCTTGCAAGCTCTCGGTGGAAGCGCTTCGTGGAGTGCGGTGACATCACGCTCCCGTGTTTCCTTTCATGTTGCTTGTACCGCTTAGCGCAGCGCTTTTATTTAGATGCTTGCGAAACGTAGGTAGACTTTGTTTTAGCTACACGGACTGTAAACACGGTCATGCAAACGGGAGCGCATTTTTTTCTTTTGAGAAGTGCGTCTCAGACGTTCTTGAAACGTTTGTGCAGGTGTGCGCGGATCATTTCGACGCTTCATGCATTGAGAAGACGACATCGTAGACGGATCCAAGGACAGGGAGAGTTATTGAAGTTGCACTCCCAGTACCACGGTTGCGTCCTGGATCTGTCCCAACGGTATTTCCCGGCTGTCCGTCCTACCTATCAGTACGAGACCAGAGCACGAGAGAAACCCCTGACGCCAAGAGGAGCCGACAAGAAGCCTCCCAACTCGCCCGTGCTGTAGAAGAGTCGCTGGCGTCATATGAAGCGGAGCTAGAACGAGACCGGTTTTCGTCCCTCGAAGAACTAAGGGCTCGCCTGCAAGGGGTGTCAGTGTCTCCGAAGTGGACTGTGATTCATAAAGAAGAGTGCTTCATGTTTTTGAACATTATCGACTATCGTGAACCTTGTTTGAATGCGTCATTGACCGTGTTTGCAAACCTTGAAGTCTTTGCCTGCTATCAAGGTTCACCAATCAAGAACCTTGGTAGCGCTGTTGTACCAGACTCAGTTCAAAAAGTAAGTTCCTTGTTGGAAATTTTGAACAACCTGTCGATGCTGTCTGAGGAGCGCTGCACTTATTGCCACCTGGCTCAAGCAATACATTCCCTTGTTTGAGCCTTGTTTCCAGTTTTGTATCTCTTTACAAGTTGTTAGCTTTTAAAGGTGGTGTACTTTTTTCTTTTTTTTTTAACTCGAACTGCCTCGGTGCCCACTGTAGCAGTTGTACAGTCCGTTTTGGTACCTAAGCTGTGTACACTTTCCTTGTGCACTCTGTGTACAGACATGTTGTGCACTGTGATTTGTTTTTTCTTAGATTTTTGTTGGATTTTTTCCCTAGGACATGCACCTACCTGTGGCAATACAATTACTTTTCTTTCTGTCATTTATCATGCTGTGGACCACAATTTAGTCACCAGTGTTCTTATGTATTGTATTTTTTGGCAAGTGTTTGAACCTGATACCTTGTGTTGCTACTGCTACTATGATAAACGAATGGTATGTTTTCCTCTAACCTACAATTTAAATGAAAGTGTGCTTTTTCTGTTCCAAAGCTCGGGGATGTTTTTGCTGTTACAATCTGTTTTGTTTTCTGAGTTTTATGTGGCAAGATATTGTGTTTTGTACTTTTGGCATATTTTCAGCATTAAGGGCAACATCTTGTGTTGCCTGTCGTCTGCCTGGACCGAGAACAATGTGCACTGTGATATTTGTACAGACGACGTCTGGCTGTGATAAATAAATACGCATTATTCCATTCACGATATTCATTATTTCTTGATACCTTGATAAGTTCCCCCGCAACGGTGGCTCAGTGGCTAAGGCGTAGCGCTGCTGAGCACTAGGGCGCAGTTTTGATATCCGGCTGCGGCGGCCGCATTTCTGATGGAGGCGAAAAGCAAAAACGCCCGTGTGTACGAGATTTCGGCACACAATAAAGATTCCCAGGTAGTAAAACTTGATCCTGAGCCCTCCCCTACGGCGCGCTTCATCGCCTGCGTTGCGTCGGCGCGTTAAACCATACAATCAATGGATACCTTGATAAATCGTGCGGACATGGTGTCAAGGAACCTCGCCCGAGTCGGTAGGCGTGAAGGGCGCTCGCGGCAAGCGCTCGCGGCTGGCGCAGCCACCCAGCGAAGGGCGGCCGGCAGGCCGGCGCGATGTGACGTCGTCGACGTCACGTCACGTGACGCGCAGGCCTGAAAAGCTTCCGGGGGTGACGGTGTAACCTGCTTAGTTTTAAAAAGGTTTTGCGAGCGTTGAGCCGTAGTGCCATGAATAGAACGAACTAGTATATACCATGAATGAACTCATGATGGTTAAAGGTGGCAAGGTGATACAAAGCACAAGCCGTAAAAAAAAAGCAAAAGCCGAATCCTGTCTCTCATTTCCCATTAGCAGCCATTGGCATGTACATTGAGCACTATCTGACTGGAAAAGGTTGCTACGTCATACTCACCGGACGTAACCTCTTTGGTTTTAGAAAGGTTTAGCGAGCGTTGGGCCGTAGTGCCATGAACACAGTGAACTAGTATATACCATGAACTCGATGTGGTTAAAGGTAGGAAGTAGACCCGAAGCGCAAGCCGTAAGAAAGTGTGCTTGTGCCACCACTCGTTTAGTCCTTGGAGCGTCCGCTGGATGGAGGTGCTTCTATATGGGGAATATATGATTAAAAGATGCGAGATGGTGGTACTTGGAGTGTTGAATAGATGAACGAATGGACACACAGACAGATGCATGGATGGACGCATGAATGGACGCAGGGGCGGATGCATGGACGAACGCAGGGACGGTCGCATGAACAGACGCACGCGTGGACGGGTGGATGGACGCATGGACGGTCACACAGAAGGACGCATGGACGGACGGAAGCAAGAACGAATGGACGGACGAATGCTTCGCCCCATTTCCATCATTCACTCCGTAGATATGCTGCCATTATTTTTGCTTTTATTTTTCGGTGAAGTTTCTGTTCGTGGATTAGCGATTGGAGCAGAAGTACGGCGTATAATATGTTGTTCACTCGCAGGTTCTTTTCCATCTGTGTCATAAAAAAAAAAAAAACGCAGAACATCTGCAATGGTCACCCAAAATGCGCAGCCGAGAGGATAAACCAAGATAGTGTGCTCGGTAAGAGCAGATGCCACAAGAACTGGTCAGTCATTCCGCCAGCACGCAGATTCTGACAAAGGCCATGGTGCCTATTTCGCATGAGTTTCTCAGGATGGTAAAAATGTATCTTCTGATTCAATTATACCGTGTAGCATGAAAGCTGTCATCCATTTGTTTGAATGTTCCACTGGGACATCATTGTGGTGTTGTTGACCTTTACGGAAACTGTAATGTATGCTGTTACGTACTGGGAATAGCAAAAGTTAGCGAGATAGGCAGCGCGAGACGGAGCGTCGAAAAACTGCATTGCGGCGCCACCTACCATGACGTGCGCCACGATGTTGAGGTTGTCGGTCATAGCTTGCGAGATTAGATACAGCAGTGGCACGCTGTCTAAACACGCCGTTGCTAATTACCGAGGCAGCGTATGGCATGCCTCGACACCACACCCCCACGGCACAGTAGGCGGAGCAGGAATGCAATTTTCCGCCGCGGCGCCACGCACTGTACATCCCGCAAACTTTCGCTGTTGACAGTACATTGCATACTGCTTCAGTCTTCGATTGTGAAGTGTGTGAAATTTTAGATGCCTAAAGATAACTAGAAGTTTGTAAAAATACTTTCCTTGAATGAGGCTCCCTTCTAAGCTACTTTTACAGCCGGTTGTCATAAGCATGATTTGTCATCGAGCCCGTTTGACCATGTTGTATGGTGGGTTCTCAGCTCCTTGTTGTTCAATAACTACTCAACAACAACTCTCAATCCCGCTAAGACGTGAAAGGGTAACCCCACTTCGGATTTAATGTTCACCATGGACGGACATGATTGCGCATTGGAGCGTTGTACAAGACATTGACATGGAGAGCGACAAAAATCTTTTTCACTAATACTCTGCTGGAAAGAATACAGTCCCAAATGAAACGTCCTGTCAAGGAAATGATGAATGACTTCTCACTGAGTGAAGGGTATAAAAGCGTGAAAAATGTCCTAAAGCTCAAATGTGCTATCATATCTGACAAACTGAACCGATTTTGTTGGGTTCTGACTCAAGCGCTAGCAATGTGCCTCTTCAAAACAAAAGTTCGTGCGTGCCTTCAAAACGCCGATGGCCTAATTCGGCTGCCTGACGCAACGAAGTGCACAAGAGGAAATTATTTTTTACACTTTTTTTTTGCTTGCGTGGTAGCACGTGCGTGCTCGTCAGTGTTTGTAACTTGATTGTTCCCAATAGAATAGGCGGAAAATTAAAAAAATGCTATTTCGCGGGATGTCAGTTTTCCCTTGTTCCACTTAGAAGCTTTATGTTGACGCGGATTTAATCACCGGCAATGCTGGTAGCAGCGACGTCGCGGAAGTAGAGCTAACTTTAGAATCACAGATCCTCTCACTCGTTCCAATCAAATGTCGAGCTTATTAAAAAAAACATGAAGAAACCTGGTGTGGCGTTTGTTGCGCGGTCATGATAGGGCTTAGATCAACGACATCAGAGGAATATAAAATCTTTGGGGACAGTATATTTACCAGTGCTACGGAGGGAAGCCCACCAAAAGAATCACGAAATGAAACGAGCCTCTACTGCAGTTGCGCTGGTTTTGCTGTGCACCGCGACTGCAGCCCATCCTAAGCTTGGTGCTCCTGGAGGTCCAAGGAAACTGCACTACGATGTTCCGGACGCTTTCGAGGTACTGTGTCGGAGTATGTTCACTTGTGGGTGCATCAGGCTTCCCACAACGACGCTCGATGTCTCGTTAAATGACCTGATTCTAGAGAAACTGCTTAAATGCCCATTCGTTACTCACAGTGTACTTCCAGAAAGATCACAAAATGTGCTTGTAAATGAACAGTAAACAAGAAAAAGTCGTCCCTCATCTTCAACGAAAATGTGGCAAGGTAGCAACTGCCTAATGACTTGTGTTCTCTTAATTATTGGCGCAGTGTGAAGGTAATGGCTAGGCTTCGATTGTACCCTTTGAGAATTAGCAACCTACTTATCATTTGATTGATTGATATGTGGGGTTTAACGTCCCGAAACCACTATATGATTATGAGAGACGCCGTAGTGGAGGGCTGCGGAAATTTCGACCACGTGGGGTGCTTTAACGTGCGCCTAAATATGAGCACACTGGCCTACAACATTTCCGCCTTCATCGGAAATGCAGCCGCCACAGCCGGGATTGAATCCCGTGACCTGCGGGTCAGTAGCCGAATACCTTATAAGCCACTAGACCACCGCGGCGGAGCAACCTACTTATCATGACAAAGGGGAAAAATGTAGCTATCTTAACGACGTTCAGAAGTTTTCTTATAGCAGTATCGCTAATATTCTGTTTCTACAATGAGTGATGGACAAATTAATCGCATCGTTTCTCCCACTGTAGATTCAGGCTATCAACTCATTAGAAATAAATATAAATAGGTACGTTGAAAACGCACGGAGGTGCTCAAACAGTATTTAGGTAATTCAGACTATAAAGAAACGAAAGAGAGGTTTGCCAGAGTGAGACTGCTATCCTGCAATGAGGAAGGTAAAACAAATATCAATAAACGAAAGAGGGCGACAAAGTAAATGTCACACTATCGCCGCAGGAGCGTAGTATATACAGTAGCGACAAATTTGAATGTAATGCGAAGAAAGGCTTGTCACTCACCCCTTCACACAGACCACAGACAAAATGCTGCATTAAGGAAACGCAGCCGCGACAGCGAGTAAAGATACCTGCATGCTGACAGTGGCTGGTCGTAAACCTTACAACGAAGCCCCAATGCATACGAGTATTTGAGCCATCGGTTGATCCCCAGATGATCTCCAGTTAAGGCGGGGCGCAGGCAGTTTCGGGTGACCGGGCTTCGTCAAAGGACACACTTTCTGCCAGCGCCGCGCTGCGTTTCATTTAGCAGCTCTCCATGCGCCTTTCGCGTGCGGGGATGGCCGGCTTGTTTCAGCTCTGCTTCAGCCTCGTTCGCAGCCCCGATAACGCGCCGTCATTCGCCCATCGTAAATTTCGCGCGTGGGGCGATCTCATCGGTTTGCGCTTTACACGAAACCCGATGGTGACACTGACGGCAAAAATACGTCTTGAGAGTCTCTTTGATTCCTATCACTTAAATTTACAGAGTCATTGTGCCATTGAGCCAATGTCCAGAGGAAGCATTATCAGCGCGCACTCACAGTTTGCCAGTTAGTCGCTTAATCTGAGTCGTCCGAGGCGACATAGCAGCACCATCTTTGTAGCGACAACAAAAACGTCAAGGTCAGAATATACCACGAAAGCCTCTCAATCCTGCAGGGTGACATAAGTGAACATCTATGCCGTACACATTCTTCCATTTATGTACTTTAAGTACGGCACCTTACCAAAAATAAATGCTTATCTTGTTACTGATGTGGTGAGTTCATAATGTTAAAATATGAAGTAGGCTTGCGGTAAGGAACATTTTAAAGAGCCGACACAGGACAGGACAAGCGTTGAAGGATTTGCGTGCTATCATGTCTCCCTATTGAGCCTGTCGTACAATTTAGAAAGGAACAGCGCCTGGGCGCATTTCTACAGTATTTTAGGCAACACACTAGAAACAAACATGACTGCAGTGAATTCTATGAGGAAGGTTCAAAAATACAGTTGTATGATTTTGACGGTGCTCTTGTATTTCATGTGTTTGCCGCAAGTTTTTGGTTTTCAATCGAACGTGTGCGCCTGGTTCGTCCCTGCGCAGGAAATAGTATTAGCGAATTGCAGAAGAAGGCTGCATTTTACTCACATTTAGTCAGTGCATGGTAGGCTTACATATCAAATAAGACTGGGAAGAAATTTTCGTGGGCATATTACGGATATTGAGAATAGTTGGCGAATATGGCGTGACAATTAATGTGGCTTGTAGACCAAGCTATACCGGCAATAGAAGCAACCAAACAACTGTTAGCTAACCTGGCACCGATGGCAACGCATAGAGAAATAGGCGCCATTCACAGACTCCATCCGTACACTTGAGAAAGCATTCGAAGAAGGGTGGTCGGAAGATCGGAACACCGGGACACAAATGAAAGACAGCCAGCAAAAATTGAAAGAATAAGACACTCGGAGAACGCCTGAGCTTCGCTTTCAAGAGTTTAACGCCGTTGCGTAATCGGGCCTTGTTTGCATCGTCTCCTCGATCGGCTATTTAGTCATGCTAGAATACATCGTAGCCTTGTAGAGTGCAGCGTAGCCTTGTAGAGTGCAGCGTAGCAAGGGGGAAGGGAAAAGACAGTTTGAAGATGAGATATGTCGCCCATTGTCGTCTGATTTCCAAACTGTCTTCTCTTAAATTGGACTCTTTAACGCTATCATGGCTTCGAAATTTTCTTTCATTTCGTGAACAGCTCACATTTGCAAATGATTCTCATTCAGATATCGCAGAAGTCACTTCAGGAGTGCCGCAGGGTAGCGTCCTTGGTCCTCTACTCTTTTCAATCTTCATCAACGATTTCCCGACTAACATTTCATCCCGTATACGCCTGTTTGCAGACGACTGTGTCATTTATCGAACCATAACATCTCCCTCTGATCATCAGGCCCTTCAAGGTGACCTAGACCTCGTTTGCAGTTGGTGTAATAAGTGGTTAATGAGCTTGAACATTTCAAAATGTAAAATAATGTCGGTTTCCCGAAAAACCTCGATTTCCACTTTTTCATACAAAATTAAAAATAGTGAAGTATCTCGAACCCCATCATACAAATATCTAGGGGTTATTATTGAGTCTAAACTTTCATGGTCTTCCCACATAACTTCCATTTGTTCCAAGGCATCCAAAACACTAGGTTATTTACGTCGAAATCTCCATTACTCCACATCGAGTGTCCGCAAAATAGCCTATTTAACATTCGTACGTCCACAGTTAGAATATGCCTCACCAGTTTGGTCACCTTATCAAAACTATTTAATACAGATGACCGAAGCCATTAAAAACAGAGCAGCCTGCTTCATCACTCAGAACTACCAATGTCACAGCAGTGTATCTCAAATTAAACGCGAGATCGGTTTACAACCATTGGATATCCGCCGCAAGATAGCCCTCCTTCTGTTGTTTCACAAGTACATTAATAGCAGAAATCCATGCGCTTTTCCTCTACACACACCGGATCGCATGTCTGCACGCACGCGAAATCAGCGCAGCTTTAAGCGTATTTTTGGCAGAACACGTGCGTTCAACTTATCTGCTTTGCCACAGGCAATCCCACTGTGGAATGATCTTCCCGACGAGATAGTTTCAGTCACTAACAACAACGCGTTCCGCGAGAAACTACTCTCTCACTACATCTAGCATCATTTCATAGAGATTTGTGTGGAGGTGCATATACTTGGTGACTGTATTTTCCTTGTTCTATTACTGTTATTAGTGTCGCTCTTATGTTGCATTTATTTGTATATTTGAACTGTATACGTTCTCATTTTTCTTTCTTTTTTTTTCTGTAAGCCCCCCTTACCCTATGCTCTAACGAGAGCCTGTAAGGTATGTTAAATAAATAAATAAATAAATAAATAAATGTGATGATGAGGAAGACATAAAGAGAGGAGAAATTAAAGCACATCACTGAAAGAATAAGAAATATATCAATAAAAACTACGAAATGAGCACAGAAAAAGTGAGAAAACATCCACGAAAGAGAGAGAAAGAAAAAGGAGAACAAAAAAAAAAAGAAAGAAATCACCACCCAAGCACTCCACACAGATGGTTAAACAGGGAAAGGTGAAAATTGCGGCCCCGATGTTTAGCGGTGGGTTCAGCCCGACGTGGCACTGAAGCCTTTCGCAATTACTGGGTGCATGTTCGTGCTTCTTGATGAGGTTTGATACACGTTTGGTTTGGGTTTCAGACAGTGCTTATTTCGCATTCCGCACATGGTGTTTCCCATGATCACTGTGCGTTAATCACAGTGTTTGTTTGCAATGGTTGGTGCATTTTCTTTATCCAGTGTTCTTGCACTGTTTTCTGCCGGTTGTCATCACATTTCCCTACTTTTAATACGACTTTGTAGGCTTAATGTGACTATTTTCGGTGTTTTCTTGTCCATGTCTATCTTGAATTGGCAAGCAGACGGCACCACATGGCGAACTCAGATTGATTTCTTTCATTATATTTTTTCTTTCACCTCTCCACCTCTTTTTAGGTTGCCCTCCCTCTTCGTTTCGCAGCCCCAAATTTTCTAATCGCTTCTCCACATTTTCTTTTTTCTATCCTCGTCACCCTTACTTCCCTTCCATATCCGCTTGCTCAACGGTGCAAAGCTAGCTCATGCTATACTCTCACCCCTCCTGCTTTCTCTTCTCATCACCCTCAACGCACTCCTCCTCATACTCCCTGCCCTCCCCACCCCACACCGATGCTGTCTTTTCCCAGCTGGCGTATCATGCCTTACGCCTGGGTTAGATGGCTCTTATAATAAATCCACCTACTGGACATGTAGGCCGACGTGGAAAATTGGATGCTTCAGGAAAATTCAGGCTTCGTAAATGTTCAGTGCCAACCGTCTGTTTCGCCGTGCATGGCTTGCCCTAGATATCGAAAAACGTTGAAATAACGATACAAAGTTGACGCCACCCGAAATCAGTGTTCTAGCGAAGGGCACACTTTAGAAACTCTGTGCTTTCGCATATTTTAGACAGGTCCCGCGGCAGACTTAGCACCGTATGTCGGATAAATGATGGGATTTTGCTTAATGCCTCTACACAGTCTGACCATTTCTAAGTGATGTGTTTCTAGGGATTTCCAAGTCTTTTTCATCGCCCATACACTGCAATGCCACTGCAGTGACATGAAGGAAAGCCTTGTAGCACCGTCAGCCGAGCGCCACAGCTACGGCATTCTTGTGACGCGCACTGCTGTCTTTTTTATGAAGATATCCCGCAGTCGACTACTGAGCATATAGTATGAGCATCATGACTTACATTATTTTGCATGAAATGAGTGCCGTAATAATCAATTTCGCCCTCTGATTTCAAGTTCATGTGCAATGCAGGTGATCAAAGCCTTTCCTTTTTCCGTGGCAATAATGGACTCTGACAACGACACAATCTTCGAGTGCTTGATTTCCAACCGCACCGACATTGACTACGAGGCGAAGAAGGCCACGTTTGTCTGGACCATTGGAGGGACGAAGGGCGTGCCCAAGTAGGAAGGATTAAAACTAGTAAAACACACCATACAGATGGCCTGTAGGTTCACTGTTGCGTTGTAGAGTGCGCGAGGAGCAACAAACCACGGATATAATGTCCAGATAACTTGAAAGGAAAAATACCATTGCTGTGGCTCGGGTACGGTGTTGCAGGTAACTCGAAGGAGAGAGAGAGTGAGAAATAGTGAAGAAAGGCAGGGTGGTTAACCAAGCTTGGCTCGGTTGGCTACTCTACAGTTGGAGTGGGGTAAAGGGGGAATACTAGAAAGGAAAGAGAAAAGAAGAGGAGTAAGAAAATGATAGAAGATCGATCTTGGGACCTTGGCCGACGATTTCACATATGCGTAAAGCCACGAAAACCCGAAGGAAAAGCTTGAAACAAATAAGCTGAGACAGGAGGGGGAAGGGAGTCTCTACGAAATGGTGGCATATTTTTCAGGACCACAACTGCCCTGAAAGATCGTTTTCAAGTTGATTCTTAAAGAAAAGTAATCGATTAACGGCAGTCGCGCCGCCGTGGTGGTCTAGTGGCTAATGTATACTCGGCTCCTGACCCGCAGGTTGCGGGATCGAATCCCGGCTGCGGCGGCTGCATTTTCTATGGAGGCGAAAATGCTGTAGGTCCGTGTGCTCAAATTTGGGTGCACTTTAAAGAACACCAGGTGGTTGAAATTTTCGGAGCCCTCCACTACAGCGTCTCTCATAATCATATGGTAGTTTCAGGACGTTAAAACCCCACATATCAATCAAATCATTAACGGCAGTCAACCGTAAAGAAAAGTATTTGAATTGCACAGAAAGTCATAGTATTGTAAAAATGATCGATTACGTTTTAACATTACGAGAAGGTGTAATAGAGTGCAAGTAATTGATTCACATGTTACGTAAAACCGTGTTGCCGATTTCATGAGCGGGACTGCTGTTTTTGTTTAGCCGTGAGTGCGATAAGGTGCCACGCTTCCTTCATATGAAGTTTAGGTTTTGTAAAATTTTAGTCCTGCCGTGATAGGACGTTTTAGGAAGAAGGTAGCACAAAAAAAAAATGTCGTTACGCCGTCGGTGGCGTCCGTGAATAACGGTCAATCATTTACAGGTGAAAATGAACTAGACTGAGTGCTGCAGAACAGCCATACAATTACACACTCAATTTTATATGTAAATTATGTAGCGCACATGACATTTTTTATGAACTGCGTGAGGACAGGGGAGGCTACAAACACGAGAAGGTGCAACAGGTAGCTCATTCTACGCCAAACGTCCCAGCCATTTTGGAGACCATCTCAAATGTGTTCCAAAAAATCGTGCTGATTTACTGCGTTAGAAACAGTGTACTGCAGACATTTTCGGAGTGAAAAAAATTTTGCTCTCGTGACTGTCTTCTGAGTTTTCTGGAATGTCGTTTGGGTGTTGTTTGTGGAAAATATTATTTTATTTTAAAAGCAGCCCTATTTATTTCTGTACCAAATTTGGTTTACATGTTAAAGTGCTTGTGCAAGGCGTTTGAAGTTTAGCAATATTAGTGCGATTTCACGGGCACATACGCCTCTAAGACTTCAGCCAAAATGTTTTATGTTTGAATTTTTTCTATTGCGATACCGCACTTTGTAAAAAAAATATGAGTAGTTAATACTTATTCCACAAAAGGTGTGTTTCGAGGAAAAATTGCTTTTAGACCTCTCACTCTGCTAGACATTACGAGAAAAAGTCACCGATTTCGCTAAGTCATCATTTTTGCTCATCTTGAGATGCGTCTTGCACCTTTATACCCAAATCAACCCCAAATAAGCAGTTATTTTTATATATGAAATCTTATCTTTACATTTTTCTGTGTTTTAAGGAAGAAAATACTTTTTGAACTTTCCCATTGGCGCCTATCTTCCCATCTGGTCATACGACAGCTGCCGTCTTAAAGTTCCCTGTTGCCGTCAATGGGAAAGTTCAAAAATAATTTTTTTATTAAAACATTGGAAAACGTAATGATGAAATTTGCTATATGAAAGGAATTGTTTAATTGTTTTCAATTTAATTATAAAGGTGACTTTTCATTGAACCACCACTAGGTGCAAATTGCGTCTCAATATAGACAAAAATGACGATTTTGAGATATTCGTGATTCTTTCCGTAAAGTCTAGCAGCTGAAGAGGTCTAAAAATATTTTTCCTCAAAATATACCTTCTGGGGAGCAAGTAACTACTATTTAAATATTCATACAAAGTGCAGCATTCCAATCGAAAAAAATGCAAGCATAACACATTTTGCCTGAATTCTTAGAGGCGTGTGTGCCAGAACAATTGCACTAACATGTCTGAGCTTCAAACGCCTTGCACAAGCACTTTTACTTAAGACGTATATAAAATTTGGTATAGAAACAAAAAGCAGTGCTTTTAAAATACATGTTTTTCACAAACAACACCCAAACGACATTCCAGGAAACTCAGAAGGCAGTCACGTGACCAAAAAGATTGGCAGGTCCCACGTACAGTGGGAACCAATGATATGCAAAGCACGAATAAGAAAGGTTGATATGTCCCTTTAAAATCAGCACAACGTTATGAGGTGGAGTAAATGATGCTGTACATGAGTTCCGTGGCATGATTATCATGTTTGTATGCGTTGTTTCTCTTCGTCATCTATTCACGTGACGTGATACCAAAATTAGAATATGTGGAGCTAGCGAAACGACCGCGAACACGCTATGAGCGTGGTACGTTGTCATGTCCTTGCATGACATGCTTAGCAAGATTATCATGTTTCACCAGTCATATATTTCGTCATCCATTGACGTCACGTAACACCAAATTTGGTATATGTGGAGCTAGCTAAACGGCCGCGAGCGCATCATGAAGGGCCCAATATACTCCAATGTAGCGTGGACTCGCGCGCACGCTGGACACAGCGACGCTACGTTAGCAAAACGCGAGCACTCTATATTCGGACGCTAGACGCGAATAGTACGACCGGCATCTGTCGACGCGGCACGACGACCACCGACTTGAAATGCGACGTGCTGCATTTCGCGCCGAGGTGTTACGCAGACAACAATGCGTCTCCCTTTTTTCGTGACGCAGAGACGCCGGACGCGCGGAAACGCGCATGCGTCAGAGCAATGCGGCGCGGCACGCGCCTGCGAGTATACGGCAGGACCGGCGCCTGGCGTGGCAACGCCGGCGATATGCGACGAAATGAACGCCGGTGAGCACGCGCACCGCTTCCTTTCGAACTGTATTAGTGCCTTGACTGTGGCATGTAGTGATGTTCTTACATGACACGCATCTCATAATAATCATGTTTGCACCAGTCACATACCTTCGCCATTCATTGGCGTCACGTAATACAAAATTTGGTAGATATGAAGCTAGCAAAACGGCCACGAGCGTATCATGAGTGTGGCATGTAGTAATGTTGCTACATGACACGCATGTCATGTTTATCGTGTTTGCACTAGTATCATACCTTCGACATCTATTCACGTTCCGTAATACCAAACTTGGTATAAGTGAAGCTAGCGAAACGGCCGCCAGCGCGTCATGAGCGTGGCATGTAGTTATGCTGTTACATGACACACATCTCATGATTATCCTGTTTGCACCAGTAACATACCTTCGTCATCTATTCACGTACTAAAATACAATATATGTTATATGTGACGCCAGCGAAACGGCCGCGAGGGCATCATGAGTGAGGCATGTAGTCATGACACGCATGTCACGATTTTCATGTTAAGGTCTGTCGCTTGCGTTCGCCAGGCAATCATGTCATACCATACCAGTTTTGCAACATGCCATGTGACCGAAACCACTGCAAGAGCTGCAGGACCATGAAATGTAGATGATGACATTCATGACATACTTGTCATAATTATCATGCCATGACTGCTGCAGTATGTTCTTCATACAGTCGTGTTATGCCATACCAAGTTTGGTATTGATACCATTAACGGAATGGCCAGGAGAGGTAAAAGTCGTAGGCGGCAAGATAGATAGATAGATAGATAGATAGATAGATAGATAGATAGATAGATAGATAGATAGATAGATAGATAGATAGATACTCTCAAAGCCGCTGAAGTTCGCTAAGAAATGCTTCGCATTTGAAAATGTTTTTCTCCGAAAAATCCAGCAGTTCACTGTTTTCAGCGCAGTAAATGAGCACAATTTTTGTCAAATGCATTTGAGATTGTCGCCAAAATGACTGGGACGTTTGGTATGGCATGACCCTGGTGTAAGACCGTGTCCATGAGAGTGTTTGTGTGATTTTTTTCTTTGTTTATTCGCACGAAGTGGTGTCGTAGTTATCAGCACCAGCTGCTACGATCTCGGCCGTGGTAGTAGTATTTGATGAAGGTGGAACGTCAGATAGGCGTGCACTGTGTCACGTAAGTGCAAGTTAAAGAAGATCAAATGGTCGAAATCGCCGCAGATCTATATTACGGCTTTCCTCATAATCATATCGTGGTTTTGGGACGAAGAACCTGAGATGCCATCATTAATGATCAGCACCCATGATAGAGTAAGTAAGAGTGACGCAATGAAGCTATAGAAAGAATATACGTTGGTGTGAACCGATACACTGAGTGAGCTGACGTAATAGCAACGAAAAGTGAACATTTACTGGGCATATTCATGAAACGTACAGGAGTAAATGTCAAGGTGAGGGCAGAGTAAAGTATTACCGTGAAAAAGTACAATATTGCAATGCTTTTTAAAATAGTGAAAGGGGAGGTTGGCTCACGCACATTTTTTCTGATCAAGTAGTCTGATTGGTATCAGAAATTTGCCTCGATATCTTACTATGCGCGTTATGAAGGACAGAAGTTTTTTTTTTTTGAAACAACGTTATTCAGCCGGAATCTTGGCGTTGAATGTCCGAGTTATCTTGGAATACTTTCGTAGCGTCACATGAATCTTCTTTTAGTCGTTCATTAATTCATCTCGGGCTTGACCAGCATACCTCCTGTTACGCAAAGGCGGAATGGCACAGCCGACAATGTGAGCGTAGGTGACGAAAACGTTTTGTAAAAGCTCGTATGCTAAACACTTGTTTGTTTTCCTGAAACAATTTTGCAACGGGCACGATAGCACCGACAGCGTCGGTTCACTTAGAATTCGATGAACTAATGAAAACCCCTTGAAAACAAGTAATCTATATCACCACGAATTCTATAGCTTCGAGAAAGCCTAACGATCTAACGTGTATTTTCGCGGAATGTACATAGTAACATGCTTTGAAGTTATTTTTATGGAATGAAATGAATGAACAATTTTGACATAAAAGCAGTATGTAGCTCGGATGTTCTATCTGTATGTGTGATAAAAAAAACACTAACACACGTATGTATCACAAACATCTAGTGAATTTCAATACTAAGCACTACTAAAGATAACTAGCAGACAATAATGCCAGAGAAAACATAGGACTTTCTCTGGCATGTTGTCTGATATTGTATGTGGCATTATTGCCAATTTTTATCTGGTATTGTCCCCTGCTTGTTCTTCTTAATAACGTGTCTTACAAAATAAATAAGCCCTTAAATTTACACTTCACTTCAATGCTCACAACTTGTTTATTAAGAATGATTGGAACACACCGGTGGCAGTCGTAATGAAGATCATGCAAAAAAAAAAATGCCAACTGCATGTGGCAAGCCAGGTATGACTGATGCATCAAAAACTAAAATAAGTGGGAATGACAAAAGACGCATTCATCTCAAACAGAAAACCCTGAAGGATTGCGCGCGACATTACAAAAAGACTTTCTTCAGTGAATCAGGTTTTGTTGGCTGCAGCGTGTGTGATCGAAGAAGGCTCGAAACTCAGGGTCGCATGCTGAAAATCAACACTGGTCTACAGCTTACGCCGAGCGGCATTGGTTTGTAAATTTTTACCGATAAGATTATCTGTGTAAGGTGGGCGAATATTAATGTTTCAGCAGTAAGTAGGTATTTCAAACTAGCTACAACGTAGAAAGTTCACTGAAAAAATTTAAAGGGAAAGAAACTGACTGTTTCGGTATCAAGGCACCAACAACGACCTTGTGTTTGATATATAGTAAAAATGCGAACAAAGGATGCGATCTATATTCATCGTACAATTTTTCAGGCAAGAAGTACCATTCTACGTAACACCTGGGCTTACACCTGGGACAATGGACATGCTTATCGGTGATGGTGAGTAGTTTTAGTACTGAAAGAAATCATGCCGGAAAATGAGCTTTATGTCCACAAAAGCAAAATAATGCGTGTGGCGAAAGAAGCTTTGCATTGACAGCTTGCTATACTATATACTAATGAACTGAGGCTATAGCACTAGACCGCACGTGGAACAGTAACATCGGGTGGCTATCACAGATCAATCTTAGACGATTTCCAAGAGACTAGTGTAAAGGCAGCTTGGTTTTGACATTAAGGCCATTCTACATTTCCATAGTGAGAAGTCGATGACCTTGTTTCTCTGTATCAAAATTTGATTCGTAAATCCAGAGTGTGAAGTCGCTGACATCGAAATAAAGAGCATATCGCAAAACAAGCACGGAAAACTGATTGTGCTGCAAAGAAGAGTTCGAAATAAAGACACAATAAGCAGTTAACATCGTCAAGACAAATAGCAGGTCCATCCCATGTATGTGTTTTCTTATGCTTGCAAAAACTGGAAGCGAAGGAGCGTTGACGCTGAAAGGTATACCACTGACGAGGCAAGTAATATGTAAAAAAAACAAACACAGATGTTCTTCAATACTATAACTACCGCACAAAAATCGTACAGAATACCCGGCTTCGAGTATTGAATTGGCTAAAGAACAATCCCGCCAACGATTTAGTTTAATCATGAACTATTTATGTCACATTGCCGCGTGCATAGCTGCATTTAGCGGCGAGATAGCGACGACAACGAAGAACGCGGATTTGCTCGAGAGGCGGATACCAGATTGCGCTGTGCAGTACCACAACTAAATTATTACCTTAACAAAGCTCGACTCAAGGTGTCACCGCTATGCATTTGGTGCAACGAAATTGAAACAAGTGAACATTTCTTTTTACTCTGTCATCGTTATTCTTATCAGAGAAGAAGATTTTTAGTAGCCCCATTACAAAAGCTAGGAATACAAGTAAATCTACCAGTAATTTTATCACTTGGCGGAACTTCATTTGGTTACTGCCGCAGGGATATATGCTCCACTGTGTTTGATTACATCAACGCAACTAAAAGATTACCATGCTAGTGAACCCTTACATTTTCGGATCTTTAGTTTATAATTCGTAGCTATGTATATCAAAAGCAAAAGATGGTTTGACTGCTTGCTCAGCAAACATTTTTGTTTTTTGGTAGAATAATTTTTAAACTACTGTTTCAGATTGGCTTCATTTTAATTTTAGTTTCATTTAAGTATCCTGTCGCCCGGTTCTTGGCCCATCCCCCTCTGAGGGTAAGCGCCATCCATCAGAGGTCATCAGCATCAGCGCAGGCGAGTGAAGAAGACAATCTTAGCGGCCTTCTCTGAGAGCGTCTCCACTTCATTGGGACACAGCGACAGGAACATGTGTGGGGCTCTCTGCGAATTCATATATAGCACAAGAAGATTACCTTGCTGAGTCAGCGATCAGCTCTCGAATTTTACTAGCCACACTACCACTTATTATTTAGCTGATACACTGCAATGATTCAACGTTCAGGAGAATTTCATATAACGATTCCACCTCAGATATTTAAAATTCTATTATTTCTCCCCCCCTTTTTTCTTTTTTTTCTGACATTGCGCCAAATTAATTTCACAGTCAAAACACAGTAATCATTTTCCCCTAATCTAGAAAATCACCTATGGCGCAAGGGCCGTGAAACGGCCCTTGCGCCATAAAACATCAAACATCATCAGAAAATCTATCAATATTGACTTGCATTAACCACCGGCTTCTTGGCCAATCCCCCTCAGTGGATGAGAGCCACAAAAGAAAGGAACAAGCAAGCAAGCAAGCAAGCAAGCAAGCAAGCAAGCAAGCAAGCAAGTTCCACTGTCCATGTTTTTAAACCCCCCCCCCCCCCCCCCTGTAATTTATAACCCGTGACACTGGTGGATGTGTTGGGTACTACCACCTCATGATCAGCACCCCTGTGAGAAGCCCCGAGAGACAGCCACGCGTGGAGACGCCTGTGCACCGCTCAAGCCGTCGCCTTCAAGGTCTTGATCCAGAATTTGGCCTTTTAAAGGGAGCAACACTTCCGACAGCCACCCCTACTCAAGAAATGGCGAGGAGTCCTGCACAGGTGGCGGTCCAGAATATGCGCATTCCTGAACCATTTCATGGCCGGCCGAACGAAGATGCGCAAGACTGGCTTGAGCAGTTTGAACGGGTAGCTAAATCGAACTACTGGAGTCTCGATGGAAAGCTCTTCCACGTATACATCACCCTTGGAGACGGCGCGAAGACGTGGTTTATAAACTGGGAGGCAACATTGACGACATAAGAGGAGTTTTGTCGTCGGTTTCTTGACACATTCGGTAACGCGGACTAACGCGAAAACGCACAACGCCTTTTTGAAAGACGCACCCAACAACTGCATGAAAGCGTCGCCATGTTTGCTGAGGATATGGTGCGTCTTTGCCACCGCGTGGACCCCAACATGCCCGAGGCTCAAAAGCTAAGCCATCTCATGAGGGGCGTCAAAGAGCAGCTATTTGTTGGTCTTGTGCGCAATCCGCCAACAACATTGGGCGAGTTCACCAGGGAGGCCACCGCAATAGAGCGTGCGCTGCAGCAACGGTACCGACAGTCAGATCGCCCGGCCACTGGCGCAGCTGCAGGCGCCGCCGCACTTACCACAAACGACTTTTCTCTACGCCACCTAATTAGACAGATCATGCGTGAAAAGATCGTGAAGGCGAACGCAAAATACATATTGCAGCCACAGGCGCCTTCATAGCAGGAGTCCACGGTAGCCTCCGTCACTGAAGTCGTTCGCCATGAACTTCGACAAGCGTTTGCCTCTCCTCAGGAATATTCCGCTCCACCACACCATCCAAACTCGTGTACCTACGCAGACGTTGTGCGTCGTCCATTGGCTCCAGAAGTATCCTACCAGCATAACAGATACTGCTATGCAGACGCTGTTCGTCGACCCACGCCCATGCCAGCGCCGCATTACCTCGAACCGTATCCTGTGGCAGCCTGGGTTCAGCAGGATTCTGTCAGGCGACCCTACATGCGGAAGACCGACATATGGTGCACTGCAGATCGCCGAACACTCTGCTACAACTGCAAAGCACACTTACCGTTTTTGCCCACATCGCCGAGCGGAATACCGCGGTAGTGCACCTACAGCTACGCGCCGACAGTTTGACGAAAGCCATGCCCCCATCGACGACGACCAGGCTGGCAGGCGGAAAGGCTCTTCTACATTCCGGACGCACTCACCATCCCCGGCTTGCTGTGGTTCACCCAGCCGCCGTAGTTTTGCTGAAGCCGCCAGAGGTCGGTCTCCCAGCTCACGGCAGGGAAACTGAAAGCAGCGACCTCTAGAGGGAAGGTTGCAAGCCGTCGAATTGCCGAAAATCCCCCACTGCTGCCGAAACACGTGAGAGATGACGATGTAGACTCCGTCGGGAAAACTGTGACTGTGAACCTCGGTGTGACGATTGACGACGTTGGAGTGACGGCCTTAGTCGATACGGGTGCAGACTTATCCATAATGAGTGAACGATTGGCAGACAAACTCAAGAAAGTCAGGATGGAATGGACGGGCCCTTATATCCGAAATTCTGGATGCCAGATAATGTCTCTCACGAGAAAACGTAAAGCAAGACTCACGATTGAGAATGTTGCTTTTGTAGCCACATTTCTGATCCTACCGGAGTGCTGCAAACCTATAATACTGGGAATAGACTTCTTAATATAGTACGGTGCTGTGGTAAACATACGCGATCGTGTGATCACATTCGCCGCTGACAAGTCTGTGACCCATGATCCAGATCAAGAACTCAGGGTGTTACGTATGGTCGACGACGACGTCTGTGTGCCACCACTGTCATGTAGTCTTGTTTCCGTGTGTTGTGGTGTGCACTGTAATGAAGACGCCATAGCCGAACGCATCACTGTCCTTCTTTTTCGCCAAGGCATAGCCATCGCTCACGGCATCGTCAGCTTAGTGGATGGGCGCGCAGAGGTGCTTCTGACTAACTTCACGAATGAGCGCCGGCACTGTTATGCCAGCGAGTCCTCGTCAAACGCCCGTGCCTCTGAAAAAGGCAATCTGGGTCAAGGCCAGCCCGCAGTCCGCCTGGCGCGATCATCTCAACGGCGTGAACACGCGGGACGCCTCTCTGGCCCACGTGCATTGAGTCAGCGGCGCACGTGACAGCGAGCCGGCGTCTTCGTGTCGGGTGGTCTGACGCATGGCGCGGCAACCCCATTGGAAGAATCTGCCCTGACGACCATCGGCGCTTCTGATTGGACATTTTGGTTGGACCCGGTGTAAATAAAAGAAGCCCTGCGGCGCGTCGCGATCGGAGGTCCTAGGAGAGGAGTCCCCGTGTCGGAGAGCCGACATGTGTGTGAGTCAGCGGTCTTAGGCGAAAGGCTGACCTATGTGTTAGAGAGGAGAGCTCGGCTCTTCGAGTCTCTGTCGGCCCCAGTGCCGAAATTGTAACGCCTCTGTATATATGCTGTACATAAACCTTGTTTAACTCACCGTCGTCTCGTCCGCTCGTCTTATCAGCTCTGCGCAGAAGCAGTCGCGAGCTGAGAAACATACGCTACCAAACGGCTGGTTACCTTCCCGGCGGAGTTGAAAGCAGTGGCGCCTTGGGACCGTGTTGGCATCGCCGTCTTTCGCAACAGTGGTGGCTTCGGCGGGATCGGTCCGTCTTTCGCAACAGTGGTGGCAGTGGTGGGATCGGCCGGCGTCAGCGACATCGATGCGGTGAGTGTCTGATGTTTTCCCCTCAGTTCACCAGACTACTCTAGCTCAGGTTGTAGTAGTTTAGAGAAGGGCTGTGTGAAGCATTGAAGTGAGCTTTGATCGTTTCAAGCCAAGTCGAAGCGCTTTGAAACCAAAGTTAATGCGGAGGGGGTAAACACGGGAGTGTGAAAAATTGCTTGCGCGTCTTGCTAGTAGGCTTATAGTGGGTACGGCAAGTAGATTCTTAACAGGGGCAAACAGCAAGAGGCTAGTGTGA